TGTCCTTTTTTTTTTTTTTTTTTCCCCTTCTGGTCGAGTAGCACTCGGGATAATATGGCGCTTCAATCCTTCGCCCGCTCCACCCTCTCTCTCCTTTTACTTTTTGTTCTTTTCTGGAATTGTTGACGACATCATGGGCCCGCTTTCCCGTCCGAACGTCTTGTCTGAGGCCCCCGTGTTGGTTCGAACCTGCGACAGGGACCCAATGTCCACGACGCCCATGGGCCTGTTCCCAGTCGCTTCTAGACGCAGCACCACGCGATCACAAGAGGGCCACGCAGCCCGTCTTGGTGTTGCTTGGCTGGGCAAAGAGGGACGACTCGAAAACCGTTCCAAGGTCCAAAGTGCGCTTCATCGCCCTCTTTTTGCCCCATTCTCTCCGGTCGCCATGACTCTCTTCCTTCTTCGCCCATGGCCGGATAATCTCTGTGGAAACAAGACAAAGAAATAAAAACAAACCTCCTACTTGCGCAGCGCCCTTCGGAAGCTGTTCTTGATAACAATCTCTCTCTCTCTTCTCCTGCCGATCCGATCGGTCTCTCCAGAATCCCAATGGTCCCCTTCCCCGTCAATGCGCCGTAAACGGACAAGCCGACCCTCCCAAAACCTCACCTTGCCTTGCCCGCCGCCAATCTGAGCCCATGGGCTTCAACTCAAGTCTGAGTACGAAAGGAAGAAGGGAAGAACTTTGCAGCATTCCTTCAGCCACGCCCCCCTTCCCCTCCCGGGGCCACCCTTGCTGGAACCCTCGCCTCTACCCTGGTCGGCAGCCAGGGTCAGAGACAGATCTGAGACGTGAAAGCCTTACGAGACGCGCGTCCTTGTCAGGCACATGGCGGCCAATCATTGATGGGTCTTCGTCCTTGCTTGTCGGGCCTGCTGGCCTGTCCTGTCTAGCTCGTCCCCGCTTTTTGGCGTGTCGTCGTGATCTTCTTGATCGGGCTAGCGCGAGGGCGGGGAGCAACATTACTCCTCTTTTCCTCCTGTTCTGAGTCCTCAATCACAGCTCGTGGAGTGATTGATACCTGGCAGTTACGTGGCCGGACCTTGTCACTGACGGGGGGTCGTAGTTTTGCTGGAGCAGTGTTCCAGTCCCTGGATTCTTGGTACGGAGAACGGCACAGAATAACCCGCTTCCATTCCGGGCATCGCGGAAAAATATTAGTCCCCGCCTAGTTATATGGTAGCCCGATTGGGCGTCTTCAACCTCCGATCTCGGATTGGCGGGGAGGGGCATCACCGGTTGACGACGCACGAGGCCTCAGCTAGAACCGTTAATTCTCCAACAACAAAAGCCAGCTCTCTTGAGGCGCGAGACACACGTGCGATTAATACCGAGCTACGGAATGCTACAAGATGGCAGAGCATGATATCGTGGTTTTTGCCGGCGACCATTGCGGCCCCGAGGTATGTTGTGCTGAGCCTCCATCCGGGAGCTCGAAACTTGGAGGGGGGAACTGCTGTCAACTAACGGGGGATGAATCGGGCTAGGTCGTTGCCGAGGGCATCAAGGTAAGTTTTGTTTTGATTCCCGCCCATGATCATGACAAGGGAAAAATCTTGTCCTCCTCCTTGGCGATGCAGTAGATACAGCAGGGCCGTTGGGCTAATGTGGACTCGTGCCCGGCATATCAGATTCTCAAAACGATCGAGCAGCACAGACCGAGCGTTGGCAAATTTATGCTCAAGGAGCATCTGTTGGGAGGTGTAAGTCCCACAAGCCGTCAATTACCCGATTTTCCTGGTTTGCGCCGGAGGAGCACGGAGTAGTAGCAGTGGCACTACGAAATGGAGTCCGAGTAATGAATTATGCTGACACACCCCCTTGCCTTCGCCCTCAGTGTTCCATCGATGCCGCGGGCACCCCTTTGACCGACGAGGCCCTACGCGCAGCCAAGTCGGCAGACGCGGTCCTACTCGGCGCAATTGGCGGCCCAAAATGGGGCACCGGCTCCGTTCGGCCGGAGCAAGGCTTGTTGAAGCTGCGCAAGGAAATGGGAACTTACGGAAACCTCCGACCTTGTTTCTTCGCCTCCGAAGCCCTCGTCGACTCGTCACCTCTCAAGGCTGAGATATGTCGAGGAACCGACTTTGTCATTGTCCGCGAGTTGACCGGTGGAATCTACTTTGGCGACCGCAAAGAAGACGATGGCTCAGGCACCGCGTGGGACTCGGAGCCCTACTCACGTCCGGAAATCGAGCGCGTGGCGCGTCTGGCAGGGTTCCTCGCCCGCGGTCGCGGAGACAAGACGGTCTGGTCTCTCGACAAGGCCAACGTGCTGGCCACCAGCCGCCTGTGGCGAAGGGTCATGACCGAAACCTTTGAGGCGGAGTTCCCCGACCTCAAGGTTGAGCACCAACTGATTGACAGCGCGGCCATGATCCTCGTCAAGAATCCTCGAGGCTTGAACGGCGTGGTTGTCACTAGCAATCTCTTCGGCGATATTATTAGCGACGAGGCTAGTGTTATTCCCGGCAGCATTGGACTTTTGCCCAGCGCAAGCTTGAGTGGTGTCCCGGACGGCAATGCTAAGTGCAATGGCATCTACGAACCCATCCACGGTAGGTGCATCTCCGCCCCTGCACGCCAAACGCGTCGATGCCAGTTTCACCTTGCCCCGGGTGACGACTGTTCCAAAACTAGCAATCCCAGAGGGGCCGTCACGTACAAATCTGCTGGCTAATAATAGCCTCGTTTGGCATGCAGGTTCCGCTCCTGATATTTCTGGAAAAGGCATCGTCAACCCCCTCGGCACCATCCTGTCGGTGGCCATGATGCTGCGGTATTCGCTACGCTTACCCGAGGAAGCTAAGGCAGTCGAGGCCGCTGTCAAAGCTGCCATCGACGCCGGACTCAGGACGAAAGACATGGGTGGCAACGCCGGCACCAAGGAAGTGGGAGATGAGGTGGCCAAGCACCTAGCGGCCGTCTTGACCAAGTCTTGATGCGGCGCCTTGTGGCGGCGGACATGAAGAGATGCCATTCGTGAACAGGGCGCAAGAGAACTCTAGAAGGCACGACGACGCAGGAACAGAGCGAAACTAGGACCGGAGCTAGGCATGTGAGGCAGCTAGCTAGGCTAGCGTAGCGACAGGGACCAACTGATACTGTCATGCTGCGCTTGGAGTGGAACCAGGTTATTTTCACGAAGCTTGAGAGAATGTTCCAATCTTGAAGATGTAGATGGAATAGCGTTATCAAGTCGCCTACGGAGCAGGAGCAGTAGAGCACCAGTGGGAATTACTCATTCACAAGAGTCCCCCGCTCTCACGCCAACCGTGGTGGGTGGCAGAAAACCTCACACACACGCACGCACACACACACACACACACACACACACACACGCACACACACACACGAGCTATTTATACATGCAGGGTGCCCTGTGTCTTCTGCCACCTCCCTCCCCTCCTGGAAGACTCACACTTGTTGGCCCTCGAATCCCACCATTCTCGATTTGTGTCCCCCACCGCCCGACTAGTCGTCGTGAGAACCCAGCAGCAATGTCGTAGACTGGGCCCTGATTGGCTCTCGGTGCACATCTGAGATGCTGATGATTATCGTATTCAAGGGTCTTTTTGCTAGCGCCACGTGGTGGTCAACAGTTTTGGCGTCTCTCGCATCTCCCTGGGGGCACCTGCCTCGCACTCATTGTACAACCCGACCCCATTGCAAGTCTGCTCCAACGCCGCCCACATGGCAAGGCGAGTCCGTTCGTTTTCCCGAAGGCGCCGCGGGAGCAGTGGGCTCGTTTTCGGCCTGCGTAGGCAAATTGTTGGCGCTGAGGAATCATCAGCCCTGTTTCTGGGCTCTTGTCGCCACGTCGAGCCATAAGGGTTCACGTCATGGACAGCCAAGACCAGTTGACGTGTTGGCTGACGCCTCTCTCAGCACTCGACGGTCGTTACTCCGTATAGTCGGTGAATCGCCGGCACTCGTGGGAGCAGTCCACTCGAAAGCGGCGGTAAGCTCCGGCTGGCGCCACGTCGTTTGTGGGGACGACGTTACTCGCCAAGGCTCTCGCTCCAAGGCAATAAAGTAGTACGTATCTCTGCTGCACGGAGTATATCGTACGAACTAGACATACGTTATAGCCAGGTCTGTACTGGGCTGGTACGGTGTACGAAGAGCGTAATGCGCCTCCTGGGCTATTACTCGAGCGAGCACACTTGTGTAGCGAGAACGGGTCGTCGTGTATCACGGGTCCAGGATCGTCGAGATTGCCGCCGGTACCATGACGGGAAGAAGTCTAGCACGCAACCAGTGAATCAGGCGGCTCCCGAGTCATGGCTGTCCCCGTGGTGATTCATCTTCTACTCTGCACTTGCCTGTTTAGTGCTGTGGGCTTGTGGTGGTTGATTGATTGATTGATTGATTGATTGATTGCCTTGTCCTTGCCCAATCTTGCGCAGTTTCTCACAATGAGGCAATCGCTGCAGTTCGCCGAAAACTTTAACAATTGGAGTTTCCCTCGTCTCTGATCCTGGGAGAGCGCAATCAAGCTGGGCCGTGGGGCCTGACGTTCCGGTAGAATATGCCAACGTGTTGATGGAATGCAGCCGCGGGTGGCAACACAATGAGTGAGTGGGCGGGTGCGTGAATCAGACCAAACTCTATTATCTGAGTTTAATGTTTAATGATGATCTGAGTCGAAGGCACATACGCACTCCGTATTTTGCAACAAACTTTGTCTCGTTGCTCCCGATGGGCGATGATGGCCAAACGAAAAAAAATTCAAAATCAAATCAAAATCTGCGCATCTCTGCGAGAAAAAAAATAAAATGGCGTCTCCGTTTCCTCCGTGTCCCCGCCAACCAGCAGGCTGGATGAAACTGGTGCGACCCGCGCACATGGTCGGAATCCCGTCCTTCGTTTTCTTCGTACAACATCTGGAGCTGCAGGCCTCATGCAATCAACCGCAACATCGAGGCGTATGTATGCGTCCGAGTGGCCGTTTAGCGTCGACAGGTATATCCGGAAATTGGGTAGGTAGACGAGAATTAAGTGACCCGAGCAGCTATGATGGTACGTGAGGCGTAGCCACTACGTGGGCGACACGGCGACGGCGCCAAACTACGCAAGGTAGGTTATTAACACTGAAGCAAAACGGTCATGATTGGCGGCGGCACTTGGGACGTTGGCTCCTCGATCGATACAGTCCACGGATGAGCGAGATCCACAATGAGGCATCGTAACCTGCGCATCTCTTAGCATCCAAGAATGGAGTCCCGGCTCTCTGCCAGTCACCAATGATGGGGAGTTCACTCGGTATCGTCGTATAGTAGTATGTAAGGTTCTCAATGGCGGTTGTAGCAGAAACTCACGCGCGTTCCATGGGCGGTCCTGGTGCATGTCTTTTTTCTTCCCTTTTAATAAAAGGAGTGGAGTGATGGTTTGACGAGTGAGAATGGACTGTGACCCTTGTTTTGACTGCGCGGCAGTTCCGAGTGTGCTTTGTTGCGTCGTGGTGAGAGTTGGGGCTGTCCTTGTCGTCGTCGACTGACTGACTGACTGATGGATGAAGAGTTTTCGAGCAACATTGAGCGAAGACGATAGTTTCACAGCGACCGTTGTCAGCGTATCGAGGCGCCGAATCAGATGGAGCGACTCTGCGAAAATCGGGGACTCCAGGCCCCACCTGCCTTCCTGGTGGTAGCCTTGCCCTCTCATAGGATGACTGTGGCATGACTTTGGCGCTGCGGGAGAATCTAAACCGCAAACATCAGCCATCGTATGGACGTGCACGTGGTCGAGCAGGCGCGCAGCAGACGCTCCGCACATGGGTTGCTAGCTGGCCGAAGAAGGGGGGGGGGGGGTTTCCTGCTTGGGGACACGGGTAGGCACAAATCAATTCTCGGGTAACTTACGACGCAGAGATATCAAGATGATGATGATGGCAATGACGCTCGCGGTCGCCTGGAAGCAAGCGAGCACGATTGCGAGCACGATTGCGAGCACGATTGCGAGCACGATTGCGGAGTCGCGAGCAGTGGTTTGACTTGACGCCCAAGGCAACTCCGCAGCGGAGAGTCAGCAAGGGGCTGGCAAGAGCCACCGTCTGGAGTACCTACGTGCCTACCTCCTTGGGTAGGTAATCCGCTAAGGAAGCATCTACGGAGTACTCTCAACCCTGAGCCTCTGACCCGAGAGATCAAGCTGCCAGCCAGCTTTCGCCATCGACAGCCTGCCATCCAGCCGCCTTCGGGGAACATGCCCGCTGCCATGGTAGTAGAACCTTTCGACGGCAGCGCCAGTGGGAAGGAAGAGGAGTCGAAGGCCAGTCGAAGGCCTGTCGAAGTCCAGTCGAAGGCCAGTGGAAGACAAGTGGAAAGGGGTCAACTGCTACCGCTCAGCCCCATTGGCCTCACCACTTGTCAGAGAAGCTGCACCCCTGGGGCCGCCCCCCCCCCGGCACCCCGGCTCTCAGATGTGCAAGTCGCCGTCTCATATCTCAATGACCGGGACGTTGAGGCGATTACATTGGCGGAGGCCTGTCCGAGCAGTGTGCATAGTAACCACACTGCAACTCCAGCCCTGCACGCCATCACATCTTTTTGGAAACTTGAAAGGACAGTCGCCCGTTCCGACATCGAGCAAAGGAAGTTGATGCCAAAGGAACTTAAGTAGGTACCTACTTAGCTGAGCACCTGGGCACACTGTCGGGCGGGGCAACATGCGCACCCCGGTCCCAGGGACCAGGGCCACAAGAGGCACTTGAGGAGTGGGTATCGACTCAAGTAAGTACTTAAGTACGTACCCAGGTTCCTGGGCCACGAGGTCGCGTCGCATGGTACAGGCCGTACACGGTACCTGCAGATGGGTGTCGTCGGTCCACACGATACCCAAGTACTTTATCAAAGCCCCTCGCATGTCCCGGCGCTTTACAGCGTGTCGGAGTACCATGTGCCCCCGGCCATTCAGGGCCCGATGGTACTTCGGCAGTCGACGCAGACATCAGGTCCACCGGCCCTCGTACTCGTCGGCTCTCTCTGCTCTTGACACGAAGCTCGCTGCAAACTCCAAGTTGAGACTTGGTTGAAGCTAATTCAGACTCAGACTCTGCAAGACCCTCCTGGCCTTCTTAATACGTCCGACCTCTAGTTCCTTCCGCCAGCCCCGACGGCTTCGAGAAATACCTGCAACGCCGGCGAAAAGGACCAGCTGCCGCTGTCGCACCTTGAACTGAAACTATGAACCTAGAACCTTGCCCGTCTCCATTCCTCTCGACTCCGTATTGCTTGGGTCCCAAGTCCTAAGCAACCCCGGCGGCCATGGTTAGTCCTCAACGACCAGCAGACAACGTCGAACCGATGTCCGATGTCCAGGCGTGCCGACTTGGAGCCAGCGCCAGGCTCTCCCCCTCCAAAAACGGCGAGGCGGACGTGCCTGGCGACTCCAGGGCGCACTCAAGCACCGACGGTTCAATACTACTTGATGATAGGCTGTCGCCGTGCGCGCCCGTCAGGCTGGCTGGTGGTGTAGACACGCTTGGTGACGGACCAAGCACATCGTGACGAGCCCAAATCTTCATCTTGACCCAAGTTTCCCGAGGCCACTCGTTTGCTCCGTCGACCAGGCCTGAAAGCTGGCACGCCACGCTGGCCGGGCATGCTGCTTTGTCAAACGAGCTCTCTCTCGTACGGCTTCCACAGCTCCCACCGGCGGTGCCCCCATCCATGTCTTTGATACCTCGATGTCCATCGTATGGAGTGCTAGCTGTTTCCCCGACTTCCCACTCATCTGACACCTCGTCGCACGCCTTGTTCTCCTGGGTCCAGGTCAGGCACGCCCCTGCCCACGGCTGGCAACCCAAAGGCTCGAGGTTCTGCACCAGCCTAGCGCAGAACCAATCCCCCGGTTTACAGATCTTGATGGGGTGCTGACGCCGGCGCCCTCACTACTGTCTTCTGTGCCTGACCCTGTAATAAGTCTGATGGAGCTTGGATTCTCAAGTGGGATATGAGCTGGATCTAGCAGGATACGGGGGTTCCTGGGAGCCGGGAATTGGGACCTTGGACGTGGGCATCGCCAGGACAACCTCCCAGTTGTCCAGCTCCGGCTCAACCTGTACACGCACTCCCGCAGAGACATAGGATGGGGCCAGCCAATATGGATTGGATACAATAAGGGACGACGGAAGTTTATCGAGCAGGCACCTCACCCGTAGTGTGGACTATGTACATGCGCACACGCTCTCGGCTCCGTGCTCCTCTGCCTTCTCCCTGTGTGCGGGTTATGGATATGTATGTATTTTGCAGAGTCTGTGTGTTTAACTCTACATAAAGTACGTAGTATAAACTTACACACCACACCACACCACACCACACACCACTCACACGCTCACTCACTCAACGCTCACTCACTCACACTCAAAAACACCACACGCAGGCACTCTTCCAGTCTGAGGCGCCCGTCGCCCTACGGTCCATACCCAGCTATCAGGAACCATACTCACACACACCTCGTTACTCTTCCTGCCTTCCTGCCCTGCCTACCTAGACATCTATCCATGGTCCTTCGGCCCCATGAGCCCATGGTAACCTTTCGATTTACTTAGTCGTGTGCAACTAGTAATTGAGTCGCCCCAGTCTTTTCCGTCTGGCGCAAGCCTCAAAGATCCATACATATACATCATTCACTCGTCTCTCGCCAAGTTCCGAGCTGAGTGCGGCATCGCTAATCTGTCTACGAAGTACACACACTCTCTCTTCCTCCGGGTCTTCTATATTACACAAAAGGAGCTGGACCTCTTTTGATTTCCTCTCCGACCATCGCTCCTTTTACCATCACTGAACAATACTTAGTCGTCAACGGACCACCACCCCCGGATCCTACGCGGTAGCTACCAACAATACACCACGATCTTTTACTTCAGAGTACTCCGGTACACAGCCTGCTCATCGGTCCGCCGTGGCTGCTTCCATCTGCTTTCAGACATCCTGCTCTTGCCTTTTTACACCAGAAGCCTGCGTCCAACACTCCTTCCCCGTCAACTTCAATAGTACGACTAGTCCTCGCGATTTGTCGTCACAATCACAATCACACTCCTTGAAAAACATCCAATCCTTGGTCGGGTACGTCGAAAACTCCAACCCAATATACCAACATCTTTGCTGCATCCACATAAGACGGTCAAGCATCATCTGGATCTGGACCAGCACTGTGCCTAACCCTCGTGCCTCAACTGACTCAGGCCTTTAGGCGCGAATCTCCCCAACGTCTGTTCGGCTGGATTCGACCATAGCTGCCTTACAAACTCTCGTGCAAATAGCTACCTACTTTTATCCCTTGTACTTGACATTGGCTCACCTTTCCATCTCGTCTCGTTTCCCTGCCTCTCTTTCCACGAAAATTCATTGCTCAGAGTTGGAAGCGAGCACCAACATCATGCCTGGGAACGACGAGGTGCTTTCCAGAGAACCAATGTGGATGTCACCGCCAACATCAGAACCACGTAAACGACCAGCCCCGATTTACGCGGATATCGCTTACACGACCGGCGGCGAGATGAACTCGGTTCCTGCTTGGAGCGGCATGCACCTACAACAAGTCACCGATGCATCGACTTTGCGGTCATCACCTATTTCTCAGGAGATGCTTCCTCTGGCCGTGTCGGGCCATGGTGAGTCTCCTGACAGTTCGCCTGCCACTAATTCCAAGCCCGAGTCCTAACCAAATCTCCCAGATGGATGGAATCACCCATCATGCGGAGAAATGCTTGACTTCCAGGGTCTGGACGGTGAAGGAGGTATCGGCCAAGCATACACCACCGATGACGCCGTGCCCATAATCGACTTGCGATATTCAACCCAGTCCCAAGAAGCGGCAAGCCTGAGTATGGAAGGGGAAATTAGGCATAGGAGGCTGTCAAACTCCTCATTGACGATTTCAACATCCGAACACATGTCTGACATTCCATCGTCGTATGACGACTATCCTGCTGGCTTGTCGGAAGCTCCCTCCTACACCTCGGATTACCTGTCGACTGCTTCAAATCGAACTTCGCTCATGTCTTCCATACAATTGTCGCCAGTAGCTTCACCACGGACCACTCCTCAGAGCCGGCCTGAGCAGGTCAGAGCCCAGAGTCGAGGCAGAGCCTCGCCATCTCCGAGACCAAGTGTGCGGTCTGCACCATACACCCTCGAGGCATCGAAGAGCCAGCGGTGGTCTACCGGATCATATGCGCTGACAACAGAACACCGGCACTCTCCCATGATATTTCAAGGTACCCACGACGGATACGCCACAGACCAACGCATGTCACCCCATGGCTACCCATCATTAATACCGACACAGCCGTTCCACGCAGGTGGCATTCAGGGCCCCCCTCCCCATCACCACCAGCCTTTTGTCCTGTCTGGACAGCCAATGTTTCAAAGGCCTGGCATGACGTCTCCGGCTCACCTGCCACCGCAAAGCATGTTCGAGCAACCCCCACCACTGCCATCACACGGCATCTTCAAGATGCTCCAGAGCAACGGAGATCCCCATACGCTCCATGGTCACTACACGGACCTTGCCGATCCTCCTGATCTGTTTGGTCCACTGTCAGAGGAGCAAATCCCACCTCCCGAAGAAGATATGAATCACTCGGACCCCAACATGATTCCCTATGAGCAAGAACTGCGCTTCAATGGCGACTTGTACACCCCTAGGTGGGTTCGGGGCCATGGGAACAAGCGCGAGGGCTGGTGTGGTATTTGCAAGCCAGGCAGATGGCTGGTTCTCAAGAACTCGGCTTTCTGGTACGACAAGTCCTTCACCCACGGCATTAGTGCCGCCACAGGCCATGCATTTGAGGAGCCTCTGGACACGAGACGGATGGATGGAAACCCAGATGTTTGGGAAGGCTTGTGTCCATCGTGCAATGCCTGGGTCCCGTTGGTCAGTAGCAAAAAGAAGGGCACAACATGGTTTCGACACGCCTACAAGGTGAGTTTGTTGTCAACACTGCCGGGGACAAGACTGTACAACTGCTGACTACATTTTGGTACAGTGCCATAGCCATCAGAAGATCAAGGATGTGCCCAAGAGACGCCGAGACACGGGTAACAACAGAAAACTGGCTGCTCAAACGCCGAAAGCCAAGCAAGATACAACGGCACAACAACCCATGACTCCACAGTCCGTTACGACACCAGTCTCATGCCTCAACACACCGTCTTCCGTGCCGCCGCCGCCGCCGCTCATACCCCAAGTTCATCTTCAAGCATTGCATCATTAGCAACAAATGCCGTCACAAACCGGAGGCACCTTCCCAGCTTCAGGACCCGACTCTATGTGTCGCGAACATGGACCTCCACACATGTCGAAGCTGCCTTTGACAGCAACTGCGGGAAACAGCATCTAACCCACCATCTCGAGGCTGCCTCCATTCGACATGACCTTGTGTTATCAAGTGCTCTTTGCTTGCCTCTCTTTTCCTTCCGCTTTACCTTCCGAGCTCACCATACCGTTTATTAGAGTCACCCTGCCGATTTTGAATGCATGTTTAACTGATGAAGTTCAAGGAGAGCATGAAGTCACGATACCTTATCATAAGCCACTCCCAAAACACATGACTGGGGCGCTTGTTTCTTGTTTCTTGTTTTTTATTTAAGAGAAATCCTCGATGATATTTTGGAATTGGTATGGAACTTATACAGCAGCCTAGGTGGGGTGAGGGACTTTCTGCACTGATATCGGAGTGAACTTGGCAGAGGGAATACACTGTTTTTGTTTTTCTTGGGTCAGGGCACAGAAAAATTGCCGTTGTGATTTTGGTTGTATCCATTGTTTTACCGTGATTCTGCGTTTCTCTACATTGATGTATATCCTTTCTTGGTTGCTGTGTCCTTCTGTTCGGTATTTTCACACATTGTACCTGTGTCTACAATGGAAGTTGTTGTGTTGGCCCTCGTTCATGTGGGCATACAGTCTCGTGCTTGGTCACAGGGCAATGAGAAAATCGAAGCTTGTCTTTGGCAAATCCGCGTTGTTTTCATTTCATTCTACTTTTTGCCCCCGCGAGCCACCGGTCAGGAATGTCTGCAGTTTGGTCGAGGAAGCTGGGCTTCCCGAGAAGTACTTTTCCTTTTGTGTTGGTCCTGCAATGGCGGCATGATGGCATGTTCTATTCTGTTTCTCGTTGGCACCAGTCATCGTGCTGCATGTCGCCTTGTCGGTATCTCGAAATGCGGAGGAGCCAACGAGAATTTCTGAGTCCACAGCTAGGCGAGGCAGTATAGCAGTATTTCGTGTAGAGATTACCGAGGCATACGTCGGCCCAATTCGAAATCGAAAAAATGCCCTTTTTGAAACTGAAACGGTACTGTTCAGATAACCTAGCTTGCGCCTTGGTCACTCCGCTACCTGGTGGTTTCTTGTGAGGCGAACTTACGAATCCTGATTTTGGTTGCACAGCGTACACAGTGGATGGTGGTTCAGGAGATCGTTCTAGGGTTGACTCGAGCCCTGGCGTGATGCAGTCGCATTTGCGACAGGGCAAGCATGCGTGGCTTGGAGTGCCTCGTCTGAGCGCCTGACGAACGTTTAGCTCGTGGTTCTGGTCCCGAGCTAATGCTTGCGGTGAGACCATGTATGTGTGTGCCCGACTATTGGCACCTGGAGACGTGTACGGCGTGCGCCGTACATGTGTATGAATATACAATAATAACTTCTCCGACAAAGTTTCGGAACCATGTCGTCGTTTGATTCCCAATTCTCGGGCATCTTCGTTGATTCCAGGCTCCTGGATTGCGCGGGGCGCCTGCTGCTTCTGTCGGTTTCGAGTTTGAAGTGTTCGGCGGCGTGTTTTGGCGCCGATGAGTTTTACAATCTGCGTCATACATCAGTGTCATGTTTTGTCCACGATTGTGGGCATCTTTTATATCATTAGGTCGCATGTAGCTTGACATGAATTCCAAGGAGATGAGAACCTTGTCGTTGCTACTCGTCGCGTCCCATTGAGACGGGAGTTTCGGACCGTGTTGCAAAGCTGACACGAGAGAGTTCATGAGACGGGCTGGAATCCAGACCATTTACTATTGCACAGCAAAATGGCTCCTCATCAAACGCTGCCAAGAACTCCGTCGCCACGTCAAATCATGGGACTTCTAGAACCGCTTCCCGGAAGGGGCCGACTCGTCCATCAAGACCCTGGCGCCTGCCGTGTTTCATGTTCCAAGTTCGTGCGATGCTGTGTTTATGATGAAACACGAGCCAATCGTTTCTGCTGAATCTCCCTCGATGCGACCGATGAGAAAAGCCCGTGAGCCTCATCAAACTGATAAGCCCAAGCGACATGCGCCGCAGCCACTGCCACAGACCTAGACGCTTCGTGACGAAGCCGAGAACCAGCAGCGCGCAGAGCAACAGCGGTACTTTTGTGCCCGGACCACGGGGCAGGATGAAGTTTTGCTGAGGGGAAAACATAATCATAGCCATTGCCATGTGCCCTGCCAGGTCAAGTTTGCTATTTCTTTCCTCCGGAACTAACGCTTGTCCCGTGTTTGATATTGGCAGTTTGCGTCCTCGCCCCGTCCGCCGACGACGACAGGTTGCCTCACAAAGTCCGCCGGCTTGTATCAAGACGAGATATTTCTCAGTCCTTTCGGCGCTGCAGGTCCGCACATGATCATCCTGGTTAGGGTGACTTATGCTAACTGGTCCAAGTGTCGCTCGATGCGTGGCTGCTGATGCTTGCTGGGATAGCAAGGTGGGCCGAAATATCGAAGTCATGTCCCAAGGTGGGATTAATGAGCTGATCGCCATTGGTAACCAAAAAATCGGCTTCAAAGCGAAAATTACATCCCGCGAAAAATCTGGCGCACCAGGTCAGCCCAGGGACAGGATTTTTGATGCAGAATTACCCGGCCTCGGCGTCTTCAGCCCGACGGCGAGCCAACAGATGACGAGATTATCTGGGACATCGACGGAAGCCCCAACATTCATTGGCGCCGAAACTTATTGCTCGCATTCGCATCCTTCAAGCTGAGACATGTGCGATGCGGATGTCTCTATCAACACCCCGTACGGACGGAGCACGTAGTCCAGAGATGAACCCCGCCCCCAACCAAAATCTTGTTCATGTTAGCACACGAAGCTCATGGATAACTGGTAGTCCGGGCTGGCACATGACCGCAACAGATGGACTGTGTACTGTTGGTCTGTGGCCAGTACCGCGCCGACCATTCACCTGGCAGAAATCCGCTTGCCTAGCTGCCCAGTTCAAATGCTGATGTGGCGGCATGGAGAACGGAGAACATGAGCGTCACGTCGAGATCTCGAGTCGACACGAGGGATGGTGGCTTGTGCTGACTTCCCTGTTTGCCTGTTCAAGCAAAAGCCCGTCCAAAATGAATGGATCCGCCATCCCCACGATTGATGGATTGATGATGCACCATTACCCACAAGGCGGCAACGCGATGCGATTTTCTGGTTACGAGAAATCAGGAATCAAGATTAGCATGTTATGCTCCCGAAGAAACGGCCAATCCACGTGGAAATCCGTCGTCCCCTTCTTCTTGCGGCTTCAGAAGACACATGACGGAGTAGACCTTTGATACTTGCATTCAATGCCCTGAGCGGTCGTCCATAAACTGACTCGACGTCTGCAAGTCGGCTGAATCGGCATTGCGATCGCCTTGTTCACCGGCGCAGAACACAGGTGTGGATTCCACGGGCACCATTTCCATGCACGGATCAGGGGACTTTGCACTCCTTAGATGGAGGATGACCTGTGTCTTCGTGTCGGGTGCCTTGGTCAGACGAATTTAGTTTATCGTTATGCATGACAAACCAATGCCGTTTTGGCCCTTCATGCGCTCTTCATCGAAATCTCTCAATGGCGGAAAAGTACAGGGACAATCTAGAGGGGAGGCTTGGGAATGCCATTCCACCTTCCAACATAGTCATTGAGCAGCAAATCGTACGGAGTACAGTTGCTAAGAAGAGTAGACATGGTATCACAAGCAAGCACTCAACCTTGGAAAAGTGATAAAGACCGCCAAGACACTCACCAAGAACATTCTTCCAAGTTGCTAAGGTACAGACATACCAATAAGAGCTGTCGTTATCGTGCCTAGATGATAGACAGCGAAGCAAACAGTGGTTAGAGGAATGTGAAAAGAAATCCGTTTGAAAGCTGGGTTGAATCCGCATCCGCAGTTCTCTGGCGGAGAGAAAAGGACACACTCGAACCGCACCTGCCTAAAAGTGTCGTGTGCAAAAAATGGAAGTCGCGACATGCGCGACTGCCCATTTTGAGTCATAGTCCTCCAACATCTACTTTTCGCCTCTACGATCAAAGGGAAAGGAGGAAGTTGCTCCTCCTCTCGAGGACCCGGTTGAACTCTGATGGTGATTCATTCGTTGTCAAATGTTACGGAGTGCCGAGAGCCCAAACAAGTGGTCGCCCGCGGAGCATTTTGAACAAGACCTCACTCAGTCTTTGTGGGTGCAGAGCGTGATGGAACGAGTCCTTCCACAGGGAGACAAACATCGAGACCTCGGCGGTGCAGAGACTGCTGGCTTACGGAGAGGCACCGGCAGACAAAACAAAGGAAGAGAAGAGGGAATCTCCCCATCCCTGCAGGCCCTGGTGGAACGCCGTGCCTTGTGCTTTGGTGAGTCTCCGCCCGTCTCTTGAGCAACTCAAAAAGAGGTGAGGAGCTGATTGTCTCTCCGTGGAATTTGCTGCAGAAGGGAGGGCTAGCGAGGTCTTGACAGAATCCCATATGGAACCACGATTGGGCCGACGGTCCAGTCAGCTTTTGTCAGCTCAGTCAAAAGGCCAGACAAGACCCAAATGATGGTCCAGAGACAAACGTCAAGGACGATGCCAAATGCATGGCCGCAGATCCAGTCGCCTAATAAAAGCACCTGCAAGGACAGCAAACGAGAGCACATTGGCACGGCGCATCGATCATGCATCAGAACCCACAGTTTCGTCTCCGCTTGGCTCAGGCTCAGGCTCGGGAACGACATGTTCTTAATCACCTTGGTCCTGAGCTGAGCTGCGAGGGCCTGTCGCCGGGCCAGGCACGCAAAAGTTTAACGCCAGGTCCGCAGCACAATAAACGGGGCCGTGTCATTGACGGATGGGACATGGGACAACACAAGGCCCTTCTTAATACAGGCGACATCGACTGTTGGACTTCACACAGTATTAGTATGGGGAAGGACGGCCTGTTACTGTTTCGAATGATTGCTAGCGGATCGTGAAGACTGGAGTTCTTTAAGTCGTTGCAGCGACCCGCCCCAGGCTCACCCGGCGCATCCAGAGACTAAACACCAGTCACATCCAGTCAGCCGAGTCAATCCAATCCAACTCAGGCCGTTCTGATACCCCTGCTCCACCCTTGGTTGCCCGCTGGTTGTCGTCGCCAAAATTTTGTCCGAGTTGAGCATCAACCACGGAATTATTACGCTTTCCCGCGTAGGCGTACACTCCCTGCCACCGCCAGTGACCCAGCATCGCCAACCGATAACATGCTATGTGGCTAGCTTGCCATTCCCCAGTCGGCGCCAGCAAATCTGGTTCCTTTCGTCCTCCTCTTTCCCCTCTCCCTCCCTCCTCCATCGTATCGTCACTCTCCGTCATGGTCAACCCTATCAACCATCATATCACCCGTTTTGCTTGACAAACCTTCCCTGCGAACTAATCTATAAACATCCAACGGTAAACATCACTGCCGACCTTGTCTCCCTTCTATGTGGCGAACAGCGGGGTCACGCTTGTTGGCTAGACTTTTTCTAGTGGTCAAGGTAAGCTCCATCCCCCCCCTCTCCCTTGACTCCAGGAGTAATAGTAATAATGCTCGTGCTTTCTCGGTATTCTAGTTTGCTCGTTCTCTTCATGATTAATTTCGTCCTCATTCTTCCATCTCTTGTCTTTCTCACCTGCTCCGGAGCCCTCCCCTCCGCAGCTTACCAGCATAACCGCCCTCGACAACATACCAGCGACCATACTTTGCCGCTTCTCCTGTCACCTTGTGCATCCAAGTGCACCCAACCTACATATTGGCCTGCCAAACTACGCCCGTGTCATTGGATATTCGCAAACACCTGGTACATGACCTGCCAGAACCACAGCCTCGGCTCTAGCCAACCATTCTTACCTTGGATGAATATTTTTGGGCGCTAAAATTATTGCAATTCCACGGTTTGCTATGAGCGAGGATCATCTGGCCGCCAGGTACGTCTACCCGCACAGGGCGCTCCCCACTTTCTACCACCGAACTATTCATCCACGACCACATTGGAGCTGACCTGATGCCGTTTCTCAGTAGCTTTGGAGATCCAAACGCTCAGCCGCCCACACCGAAGCAAACGCCGCCATCTGCCGTATTTTCTAGTCCGATTTTTGAAACGCCAAAACGTCACCGGAGCTCCTTCACCGAAACCACTGGGTTAACTCCTCGGTTTGCTGAAGAATATTCCGTCTTCAACGCAACCCCGGGCAACCTGCGAGGAACTCAAGGCCCCTTTCCGGACTTTTTCCCCATCACATCCGTAAGCTCTTCGGCGGGACATAAGCGATTGCTGTCTGCTGAGGCGTTTGCCGTCGAAATCGCAGCGCATGTGAACCTCCTGTCGCCGAATCCAAACGTCGCCCTGCCGCCAGTTGCTCCCGCCCACCGATTACCGTCCTCTCCGAACCCGTCCGTGGCAGAAAAAGCTTCTTCGACCGCAGGCTTTAAGCCTCAGCCAAACCCCAACCTGTCCAAGACCCCTACTTCGTCCAAGAAAACTCAACGAGGTACTATTGCCAAAGAACCAACTCAGGTCATATCGCCGCCACCCACGGCACGGAAAGGAGAGCGTCGGCTCGATCCGAAGCTCAACATGCAAAATGACCAAAACTTCAGTCGCCCGGACTTCCATGATCTGTCGCCGCAGGAAATGGCGGCATTACTAGGTAGTGCCAACGACATGTTCGGTTACCCGATGTCTACGCCAGCCACAACGCATTCCAACTTTTGGGACCCAACCGTGATGAATATGGACTTGGACTTAGCCACAACAGGAGTCAATATGTTCCAACCGCCTACACCCTCCTCTCATCGCCATGCGGGCTCGTTTGATTGGAATAGCGAGGTTCAACTTTTCCAGGATCCCGACTTGCCGCCATGTTCAAATCAAGAAAATGTCCAGCCTGTCAGGGGAGAGAGTTCGCTGGCTCCCAAGCCAGCGGCATCCGACATTGTGTGCACTAGTGCCCAAGATCCATCCTTGTGTGTGTCGTTTTCGCCTATGATGGACGAAGCGTTTACCATGATTAATACCGGAGATGCCGTTGACCCTGGTCTTCTGTTCACTCGCCCGCAAAGTGCATCCATAGACGCCGGCTTGAGCACTACGGAACAACCCAGAATAGCGGAGACAGCGATTCAATCAGGGAAGACACAGGTTGGCAACGGACGCAGACCCGCTATCGTGAAGGACAAAACGAATGCTACCAAGGGTCCTGACCGGCAAACTGCAAGCTCTCCTGCAAAAGCATTGGGCAGACCTGGGCCTGGGCGGAGTGTTAGCGAAAACCGAGGGAGAAAAGCAGCTCGAAGAGGTTCACTTCCAATGCTGGCTCCCGCGGCAAGGCCAGCCCCCGACCTCGGGTTCAGAGGTAGCAAGTCAACTGGTCGTCTGCCAGGGAGAATATCGCCATTCAGGACACAGCAGAGGTTGTCGAGCCTTGCATCCATCCCAGAGATGTGCCCACAAGCGCGACATCTCACCTCTGTCCGGTTGTCGGTCAATAAACACGGGCGAGCGACCATCCAGACCATGCTAGGCCGCGGGAGCACGTCAATGACCAAAAGCCAAAGTTCTCAGGATTTGTCAACACATCGAAGCTGGTCATCAACTGAAGATGACTCCGACACAGACGACGAGCCTATCATCATTCCCAGTCGCAATAACTCCTTCAATGCGTCATTTGCCCTGCCTGATCCCCGCAAGCCGGTAGGTTCACTATTCTCGTCGGGGCGAAGCGTCGGCGACAGAAGCAACAGCAACTCAGCCAACGAGGGGGAGAGCGAAGCAGAAACGGTCGTCAATGAGAGAGCCGGCAAGTACGGGGACGCGGCTAGCGAATTGCGAAAGGTTGTTGAGGATCGACAAAACCGCTCCCTCCGGCTGGCGGGCGCAACATCATTGCGACGCTCGTTGAATACCAGTATTCAGAACTTCCCCGGAGGAATCATTTCGCCCACGAGTCTGACCGAATCAAGCTACGGACCGGATAGCTACAACGTCCGATGCGTATGCAATAATAGCAAGGCAGACGAGAGCAACGGCTTCTTGGTTGAATGGTAAGTTCACGTATCGCCCACGGAATTCGCATGTCATTGTAATCTCCTAACGCCGAGTGCCCATCAGCGAATCATGCGAAATGTGGCTTCATGGAAAGTGCATCAACATCAGCCGCCGTACTATGCCGACAGTATACATTTGCGGTTTTTGTGCAAACACGCCCAACGTGGCGGAACGAAGAAGACGGGATAATGCATTGGGAATCGGGACGAGTGTGTCTCCTCTGGCGAACAAGTCCTTTAGGTCGTTTCGGTGACTAGGAAAACAGCATGGCATTTCAAGGGGTTCAAGGGGTTTTCTTCCCTTCTTTTTATTTCTTTTCATGGCGAAGATTCCTTCCGAGTGTTGGAGATGAGATGAGTCAAGTTTCCTTGTCAAGGCGGGCGGCGTTGCAGGAACACCGGCCAGAAAAGACATGTTAATTACACCTGGGATGGGTAGCGGAGCAAGTTGTTAGTGTGGATGCAAAGTAGTTGTATATACGACACACACCCCAGGAACAGAGGGTCGAGGTCGAGGATGCAAGAGGCTAGAATTTCAAAGCATGGGACATGCGATGTTGCACTCACTGCCGTCACGGTTGTGAGTTGTCGCGGGGACAGCAGAGTAGTGAGTGATCTTGGCTGTCTGGAGTGCGCACACAGACAGCGAGATGTGGCGCGTACTTGTCGGCCGTCGCCGAGGCAGTCGTCCGCTGCTTGGCTGGCAGGCAATTTTTACTCCTCGAGGCTTTGCGAGCCGCATCCCATCTTCTCATCCACTCGCCACGCCCGCGATGCTGGGCCTCGTCGCCCGACAGCACCGCCCACAGTCGGCCGCTTGGCTTGGCCCGGGGTTTCAGACCAGGGGACCAACCGCCCTGCCAAGCCCGCCAGACCTGCAGGCCACACACATGTACGTATTCCCGTGCTCTGTACGGAGTAACTACGTTACGGAGTACAAATCTCCTCGGCGCCACGTTGCTCCATCCCGCATCCACACGAGTACACTGGCAAACTTCAAAGCTACAGACAGACAGGCAGGCACACACGCACGCGGCCCACGCGCAATAATAGGGAAAACCACTCACTTATGCCCAAGCTAAGTAGTAAAGAGCAGGAAAAGAAGAAAAAAACCAAAAAAAAAAAAAAAAAAAAAAAAGGGAAGACAGAAAGACAGAGTCGCGCAGCAGCGGGTGCGGGGGGTTACCATTACCAGCCAAGACAAATCAGACCATCCCGACCAAGCCGAGTGTTTTTGCAAAACAGGGTTATAATTTTTGCTCCGGTCCGCCAGTCCTTTTAAACGAAAAAAAGACAAACCCCATGAGAGGATCCTTTTTTTTTTTTAATCAAAACCCCTCACCAAGCACCAAAGGTCAAGTTCTTTCTCGTCACTTTGTTCCTCTTTTTTTTCTTTCTTTTTTTTTAAAAAAAAAAAAAAAAAAAAAGGTTGTCAGTGGCAACAGCTGTCCCTTTCTCTCTCATTTTTTTTTCCTTTTGCTTCTACGTTCCTCCCTCTCCATCTTCCCAGCCAACTGTCCATACACACACATTTACTATTTCTGGGGATTGAGGAGCATCTCTCTTGAGGCTTCCCCTTTGAGTAGGTTGCCTTGCTGAAGATACTTTTCAAGGGCTCCCCCGGAGCGTTAGGTACGTCTTAAAAGCGAGACATACGGAAAGCCATAGTGGGGGTATCTCAACACATGTACAATGTCAAAAACACCCTAGTCCGGGGGAGCCACTGTGCGCCGGTGACGAGGCGCTTATTTGCCGCCGAGGCTGGGGAAGGCGGACTCGTCCTTGGTGTTGATGGGAGCAGGCCCAGCACCACCACGTCCGCCGCGGAAGCTGGCTCCTCGCCCACGGTCGCCGCCGCCGCCGCGCTCACCACCGCGTCCACCGCGTCCGCGGCCGCCGCGGCCGCCCCCTCGGGTGCGTTCGGGCTCAACGAAGCGAGGGTCAAAGTCGACGGTCTGCTTGACCTTGCGCTCGCGCTCGCGCTGCTTCTTGCCGTGGCTGCCCGAGATGAAGTCTTCGTCCTCGGCCTTCTCGAGGGCCTTGGCGCCGGCCCACTTCTTGTCGGGCTTGCTACCCTCATTGGCCTCGCGGACCTTGAAGCCGCCATCAATGTTGAGCTTCTTCTCGGCCTGCTGGGCGAGATAGTCGGCGTAAGAAACACTCTTGTCCTCGGGCTCGGCGGCCTCTTCCCCAGCGGCGTCCTCGGCGAGTGCTTCCTTCTTCTCAGACTGAGCAATGGCCTCACCAGCCTGCTCATCCTTCAGTTCGGCGTCGCCTTCATTGGCACCCCAAGACTGGGCTGCCTGCTTCTCGGAGCCACTGCAACGTCCCCAGTTAGCGTTTTTTTACACGGACATCAATGTCAAGTAGATGAAAACATGCGACATACGAGTGGACGGCGCTGCGGGAGGGGTGGCGGTCGTCGTTATCACGAGGGCGACGAGAGCCGCGGCCTAAATCGGATGATGAAAACATCAGCACCCAGGTTTTAGATAAACAAGTAGTTTGACCGAAAGCGCGCCCCGAGGCAGTCCGCCAAGGGTCCGTGGTGATATTTCAAACGAGGCCACACTTACCACCACGGAGACGAGCTCCGTAGCCACCACGGGGACCATCTCTAGGGGCCTCGTCAGTGGGCCGGGCGTGGTTTCTGTCGCTGCCGGCGCCGCGGTCACGGAAAGCTATACGACACAGTGATTTAGCCTCGTCATGTTTCGCCATGCGGCGGTTGCCAAAACAAACACTTGGGCAGCCGTGAATGCCACTTACCACCCTCGTTTCCGCGGGGACCTCCGCGGCGGTTGCCAGTGCCGCGAGTGGGAGCAGCGGGAGCTTGGGGCTCCGCGTTGCGCTTGGTGGTACGGGCCGTGGCCTTGTCGACGGTCTTGACAGGGACAATGGGCTTGTGCTCGCCAGAGTCGTCGTTGCCTATTGATTCGATGGGGTATTAGTGCGGTGTCAAAAGGACGCGCAAGGACGGGCGTGGTTTCGGCAGTAGGTGATGCGGCCGGTGAAAGGACGTCAAGGTGCACAAGGAAGGGCGGGCGAGCCGGCTCATACCAAGGAAGGCGAAACGGTTCTGTAGAGCAAACAAGACAAAAAACCAAACGTTAGCAACGGCTTCAAGCAAGGAAGAACAGTTCAAAGCGACGGGACAGCCAGGGCGACAGCCGAGATGGCAGGATGCAGAGGAGCTGCGTGGCCGAGACGGAGGTGGCCGGCGACACGTATAGCCAAAGGCGTCTTCAATGAGGGAGAGTCGGCGATGGGGGATGAAGACAACGGGCGACGCCAGTATGAAGCTGGCGGCGACGGCGACGGCGAGGAGAATGACGAGGAGGACGGCGAGGAGGATGGCAGGGAGGAGGGCGAGGCGAGGGCGAGGGCGAGGACGAGGACGAGTGTCGAGGACGAAACAAGGCCATTTTCATACCTGAGAAGCGACCTGGGACATCTTGATGGCCTCGGGCGAGTCGGCTACTTTGCAATTGTCGGTGTCGGCGGTCGGGTGCTGCTTGTGGAGGAAGGGGGAGGTGCTTAAGAGAGCATGACCTCGGAGAGGAACAAGGGCGCAAAAAGTCTCTGGCGGTGGTGGGTGTGAGGCACCGGCAAAAGAGTCTGTCAGCAGCAGTGGCCTGGGGTGGTGATGGGTGATGGGTGACGGGTGACGGGTGACGGGTGATGGGCAGTGGGAAGAGAGTAAGTACCTGATAAGTAAGTAAGTACTTGGAAGCACGTACGTACTTGCTTACTTGCCTTGTAGCACCATGTGCGTGGACCTGGGTCCCGTGTGCTTGTGCGTGTGCGCTGCACCGCCGGCGTGCCTGCGCTCAATACTCAATTCAATAGTTACTTACGGAGTACCAATCAACACAGCCTGCTGAGCTGCCCGCGGCAGGTAACTACACGCGCCCTCGACGTGCCGCAGTGCGAGTGCAAGCAAGCAAGCTGTGGCTGTGGCCCGCCTTTTCGCTTAATTCAGCAATTTTTTGTCGTGGACTTCTGTTAGGGCTCCATGCCGCCCCCCGGTAGGTAACTTCTGGTAGTGTCCATGCGCCCGTGCCATGCGACCCCACTAACACCAGTCCCAGGGCCTCTGCTCCCCATTTCTCGCACTAGTCCGTTCCGATCCCGCCCCAGGGCTGAGGCCGTCCGTCTCCCGCCAGTTAAATCGGCTTCCAAACCAACCATCAATCATCTGCTCACTGACGGAAAACTTCCAATCTCATGTCTTCTAATAATATCTCTATGCCTATTTTGACAATGCTTGCCCGTCCTGTGAGCAGTATCGGTTTGAAGTATACTTGTCCATCTTCGTCACGACGGACAGACGCAATGGCTGCAGCCATCATGTCCATCGTCCTCCTCCAGGTGCTTCTCCCATGATGCAATACGTCCTACACGGTTCTGAGTGTCTATCCAAACGACCGATTCTTTCTGGCGGCGCTGTCAAGGTCGAGCCTTCTCCCCTCGCCACAAATCCTCCAGATCGCCATGCCATGTCACCTTTTGCCTTGCCATCCTCTTCAACATATTGGTTCCGGCAGCAAGGTGTCACGCGAGGCCCTAGGCGAGATGGCGAAATTCGTGAAGTGACCCAAGTCTGTCGTCCCGAGGGGCCGCTTCGATCTGTCGGCTGAGCTTCTGCTGTTCCTATGGCGGGATGCAAGCAGCTCGCAGCTTGCATTTGGAGTGGTATGGGCTTCAAGGGATGCGGTCGAAATGAGCTTCCATTGATGGCATCATTCATGTTGATCCAGAAAACCGCACCATCGCAACCGCCTTGGCCGCGGGGAACCAGACGTTTGGAGCATGGCAGCTGGTCCTGCAGTTGATCTTCTCTCAGCCATCTACCAATCCTTTCCGAGTAGATAAATCTTACCGCCATGACTCCTGCCGCGCCGAAGCGTTCGAGACTACTAGGGCTCGTCGTCTCTGCCCAACGTCGTCTCGTCACACCCCCGTCCACAATGTCAATTCTCCTCAACCCCTTCTGGAGTACCTCGTGGTCACCGAGTCCGTCAACCTCACACTCGGCAGTGCATAAAGCACAGAGAGGGGGCTCCATCACCTCTTGTCCTCGACCGTGTCTGACGTCCTCTTCAGAGTCGCCTGGAACCCCAGACACGCCAACACAAAGGCTGCGGCTCCCATAGAGCAGACATCCGTAGCAAGCTCGATGCCAGAAACACCAGCCAAAGCTAACGCATTCTGTTCCACGAAGGATCAACTCCCCACAGACCCAGCATATTGAAAGGTTCATGATTGTAACGTAGCAACCGGTACAAGTGAGGCGAGCAGATCGGCCAAGCACATGAGGTTTTTCGGCCGAAACGCAGGAGCAGAAAGTGCAAGTAAAAATATTCGGCTCATGCTGATCTCCCATCCTGTGCTTCGGGCATCAGCGTTGCGCTCGTGGCTCGCGGCCTCTGTTGAATGGCAAAACAACCAGGTCAATCGTAATGTGTAACGATGTTGGCGACTGTAAGCAGACCGGCCGCTTCGCAAAGAGAAGCCCGAAGTTTACCTCTGAGCAGCTTGACGGGTGGGGAAACGGGCGTTGCGATGGAGATTGAATGCATTATTTATATGTCGAAGACGGCGTGCGCCAAGTGCCGGCCCTTCCATGGCCTGCTTGACAAGTCGTGGGAAGCAGACGGTCGGATGGAAGGAGCCTCCCGTGCTTGCCTCGACATCACGTCGCTTGATCAACATGACATGATTATCGCCCGGAGAATCAACAATCATCTTCACTACCTAGTAGCTGACGTCGAACAAAGTCCCCCAGGTTCATGCAATCCAATATCAACATTTTCCTAAACGCCATATCCCTCCATGCGCCACAGAATCATTCACTGCCAAGGCCAGCTTCGGTGAAGAAAGAAAAATCCAGAACGCAGCTAAGAGTTCAGACAAGTATGGTGCGGAAACCATCATCTTTGTTTCCGTTGCCAAGTATTATTGGCTACATGTGTCGAGGTCGTTTACCAAATTCAAATCCCCGGGGAAATGATCTGAAAAAGAAAAGGGTCCCCGTCTCTGTGATCTATCGACAAAACCTCTGCTGATATACAGCTTTTCCATGCATTCACCAAGAAACATCATCGATCCCAATCTTCTCGACCAAAATGCACTAAGCACGATTCTTTGGTTGGGCTAGCATATTGAGGCGGCTCATACTGAGGCCACCCACCTTTTTCGTTGGACTGGCTCCTACGGCAGCGCGAATCGGAGTTTTTCCGGAAGTTTGATTGTTTCCTGCCTTGGCAGGGGTTCGAGTGAATCGATGGCTCTTGGTCCTGGTAGTCCTTGCGGAATTGCCTTGTACAAGTCTGGGTGCAAGAAGAGCCTGCCCTTCTGGCACGTTTACATTCTTTCGCTTCTTGGCTGCTCGCTCAATGTCGGAGTCATCTTCATCCGCAGTAGCTCGGTGGCGTTTCTTATTCTGCATTCCATGCGCCGTTCCAGATAACATCTTAGCGACAGTCGGGGCCGTATTTTCCTTGTTAGGGTGAGAACTGGGAGAGGGCGGTGGCGGGAAGCTGCCGGGCATCTTGCTAGGAACGGCTGTGGCACTAACATGCCGAACACTAGATTGGCCAGGAGACGCGCCGAAACCCGCTGACGAGGCATCACCAAACTTGATTGTGTGGTCACTTCGAAATGTAAAAGTCCCTGCCATTGAGGGAGAACCAGAAACGGCTCGGTGTGATTGAGAGCCCATGAGATGCTTCAGAGGCGAGAGATCGGGATACAGAGAGTTGCTAGGAGTCGGCTCTGTCAAAACTTCGTCGAGAGCCGAATAGGGCGTTTCGATGGTTTTCAAGGCCGGCCGAAGTTTCAGGTTGCCAACTCTCTGTGGCGAGGGCGAGTTTTGAGCATTCACGGCAGTTACGACTTCAGGAGTGAAGGTAACCTTCTTCGTCAATTTACGACGAGGCGTAGTCAGTGGGATTGGAGGGAGCTCCTTATTCACTCTCGGCGGAGCTGGTGTCCGCGAAATTTGAGGCTGAGGTATAGCCGTCAATTTCTCCTCCGAGTTCCCTTTGACTCCTCGAAGGAGGGATTTCACCTTGCTGAAGCTCTGGGGGCTGATGATGCGACGCTTCATTTCCCAGGCCTTGGACAGAGGCAGATTTAGACTGCTCCCTGAAGCAGATATGGTCGAGCTATGAAGGCTCGACTTCGATGGCGACCGGAGCAAGGAGATGGTCGGTTTCGTCGCGCCTTTTGCGCTGATTGGCGACGGAGCTGCGGCGGCCTGTTTTGGGGTGGCAAGTCGAGAAAAGACGGAACTGGGGTTTGCTGGCGAAATACGCCCTGACCCAGTAAGAGCAGCAGCAGCAGCAGCAGCATCATCGTGGCGTTTCCTGACCCTCTTTGCTGCAGGTGCACTGTACTCTCGAGCAACAATGGAGCTCTTTCCGGAGATTGCATTCTCGTTGCGCCGCTTTGAGTCTGCGGGGTCGTCGTTATCTAGGTTGGCAGCAGACGACTTGCGCTTCAAGTTAGGCTTGGGTAGTGGATTCTGCGTCTCCTCGGTGTCTGCCATGGCAGGGGATCTCTGAGTAGCAGCACTCCTCTGTGAAGCTGCAGCGCCTTCTAGGTTTGCCTTGGAAGAGGTCCGTTTCAATGACTGAACAGGAGTAAACCGTCCCTCTTGAGCCCTCCATGCAGAGGCATGACCTTCAATCGAATCCATCTTCTTGAACTCGGCCATATGTGCGGCACTATATCGCCCAACCTTGCCTTTTGGCTTGGCAAAGGGTCTGCCACCACCGTTCACACCGCTCTCGGCCTCTCTCGACGCAATGAGTTCGGCCTTGATCTTGGCGGCCTGGTCGCGTATCTCGCTCAGCATACGCTGAGCCTCACTGCTCAATTCCGTGTCTGCAGATGCGCGAGCAGCTCGGAAAGAAAACTTCGAGCAAGGACCGCGATTGATTTTGCTTGGGGTTCCATCCTGGCCACCAGGGGTGGATGTTTCCTTGGGGATGTCGGAGAAACCCAGCCTGAGAGCAGATGAGGGATCGCCAGTGCTGAGGTGATATTTGCTGGGATGCATTTCGCTGCGAGGGGGCTTCAGAGCCGACGACGCGGGCGTGCTCGGTTCCGGCAGAGGTGATTCCATCGCCGTGTCCGCATCGACTTTCCTCATCTTACTGTTGCGTGGCGTCTCTTCAGTCTCCGTGACAGGCCCTAATTCGGGTGCGGCCTTGCTCTATGGTGACGAGTGTCGTTAGATACAGCTCACCAGGGTGCGCTAGTTTGATCAAGTAGCGTTGACAAAGGACCATGGAGTCGTACCTTGACAGAGCTGGCCAACCTGGCCGAACGGCGACGAGGAGGTGACATGATTAGGCTGTTGGGGTGCAAAACCGTACCTGTATCAATGTACGTGATGGAGGGAAGCCTGCGAGGCAAGCCGCAGAGTGGACCGGGGGGGAGCCAAGAAGAGGAGCGTCTTGAGGACCGTATGTAAAATGTAAGTTATGATGTCAAGTGTCGAGTGGATAAAGAGCGATCACCCAGGTTTGTTGATGTTCCGGGGGATAGTTTGTTTACTTTGGATGGTCCGAGCGCCATCCAGCTAGCGCGACCGTTGCGAGAACAGTGCGTGTACAGTTTATTTTGAGTGTCTAAACTGTACCATTCCTGTGTCTGATTACCTAATGCGGGCTACAATGGACCTAACCTAAGTGCGGTTTCTATCGCGCACCCAAGGCCGGGCGAACGTTCCGAAAACCGTACCTTTGGCCTTCCGGAAAGCCGAGCATCGTGCTTCCAACAACGGCTTGTCGGGTCCGCGTCGTCCCATCTGCGGGGATGCCGTTCAATTGCCGTCATCGGCTATGACAGGAGGCATTGAACGGATCCATCCACTGACCTCGTACGAAGGACGTGACTCGGTGGCGTGTTTCGAAGCCAAGGGGGGACGACTACCTCTGACAATCTATCCATGCAGGGGGCATGCCTGGAGATGTGTCGCTGACCGGTGTTGTGACTTATTACGACTTTGTCAGCATTGCAGGAGTAGTGGTCTGGAAGAATTCTAGAAACCCATTGTGGAGCAATACTGCCAACTTGCAACGATGTGTTGGGCTGCAAAACATCTCAGCGGCGAACACGGCATGTTGGCAACGGCGAGTACCTTTCACGGGGATGCTATAACGCGGTGGTGTTTCCTGGGCTTACGCGACTCTGTAGCGCATCACCGTAGTCTGGACTCTAATAAGCGACACATTTTCCCTTTCCGAGTATATTCCATGTCATACCAGCTATCATGACAACGGGGTGTCACGTTGAACGCGCCAATCCTACTCGTCGGGGCACAATGAGTTTGTGAAGGGCGAAGGGTACTATGACTTGAAGGGCCGCCGCTGGTGAAGTTTATTCTTCAAGAGTTGATGGCTCCGTCATGGCCATGAAGATGCGCTGCGCACTCCTCAAATGGTCCGTCGCTAGCTGAAGTTGGTCAATGTCGTGACCGTCATGTTCAACAGACAGGTTGCTTGCTGCTGCCTGGCAAAATGAAGAGGGCTAACTCGCCGACGATTCGTCAATTCTTGACTGGTGTGCATGGAGTGGGCCGAGAAACCTGGCAGAACATACTATGTACCTTGATGAGTCCGACCCGCGTTCATCTAGTGTTCCAAACAGCGATCGTCACAGTAGTCTCTGGGGTCTGTGAGAGAGGAAGCAATACATACTCGAAGCAAAGCGAGAGACTTCCGGTCGACGATCCGGCGATCAATGGCGTCCGCCCGTCACGTGATTGGCAGTATGCGGGGGGGGAGGTGGGGGGAAGGGCGGGGGTTTCCACCAAATCTCACGTGCTATTTGCCGTCGCTTGTCGCGTGCATACATACCAACAAGGTACTTCCAACAAAGTACGGAGTACCTCCAAGGTCCAGGTTTTCCACATTGGCCGCCTCCACGTCAGAGGCAACATGCTTTCTTTTACTTTCCTTCGTTCCTTGTCTTGTCCTTTATTTTTTTTTTCCTTGGCTGGCTGCAAAAGACCGAATAGACTCGAGACACCAATGCTGGAGATGCCGCATCCAGCGAAGAGGGGAAGGGCCAACTGGTCAGCGCGGGAACACAACATGAAGCTACCCTCAGCTTGAACATCACGCGGCCTCGCCGGGTTTTTACGGATCAACTGGTGTTTGCTGTCGATTGCAGGCGCTGTGGCATCCTTGAAAGACTTGAAAGAGGCTGGCTTGGACCGTCAACGTCCAGTCATCCCATTCGACGTTCCACATTTGAACCTGTCCAAGAGTGGCCACCTGCTTCAAGCAGCTCCTTACTTCTTGAAGGTACTTAAGTACCTACTTAGGTACCTAGGGTAGCTCGAGTATTTCATAACCTGGGCAGCCGACGTGAGTACGGACTAGTCAAGATGAAACTGTATTTTCCAACGACACACTCGCGGCCCGGGACCTCGCCCCTGCCCGGCCTGGTGGTTAGTCGGTTGTCCTGTTGCTGTTTCCCCGTTCGACGGAAGACGTGCCATGAGCCGTGAGCGCAAGTACCATGAGAGTGTCGGGTGGTACTCCGTAGTACTCCGGACCAGCAACCTTACAAGTCCCCTGACCCACGATCCTGAAGTTGGCTGTCGGAACGATTGCTGGAGGGTAGCCACCGAGATCTGATCTGTTCCTTCCAACTCTGCCTTGCAAAACGTACATCACCTGTGCGGCGTCTCCATGTTGATCGACAATCTTTTGGCAAGACATGTTAGGCATACTATATTATCGCCGCATCCGCTTCAATTTGGTATCTTATTTTGCTTCCCAAACGCCAACGGCACATTACTTAGTAACCAGTCCCAACATATTTGATACAAGTTCATTATTCTCCCACAGGAAAAACTCGACGGCGCGTCACGACGTGCATCTCAGCTTTACAGTTATTCGTATCCGGGAAGCGACGTCTATTCTGAGGTGTCCGTCAACCAAGACACGCACATAAGACAACATGGATGAAGTACAAGACGATGGAAAGCTCGGATAGGGTCGTCGAGCAGACACACGTTTTGCTGCGCCAGCTTCTCGAAATATCCTCAGCCACGACCCGCCCTCGGTTTCCCTCGAACACACATTTATTGGACGCACCTTGGCAAGACACAGCTACGATGCGGTATACAGGGCGGCTCGGGATTCTTCCTCGGACGAGACTCTACCATTCAAGAGTCCAAGTTGCTCAGGAGACTTGCCGTGAGAGCTTGAAAGCAGTCGACGGGGATGCTGTACATACTAACATGCGTGTAGGGCATTTTTCTCTTCCAACTTGGACGGTGCATTAGACGAGAAGTCTCGCACAGATACAAGCGGGCAAGTCCAAGATGCTTTGGCGCTTTTCGACACATACGGGGTCCCGCGGCCAGAAGGATTGTCTCTCAGTCGGAGAAGACAGCCCAAAGTTTCCTATGACGAGGCTTTGCAGTTGTGCCATTTCTGTGGAGAGGCGCTTTCACTTGAGCAGCAGTGTGCGAAGTGTGGGCATGACTTTTGCTACAAGTGTGCATCTGAAAGGACCGGCTTGGAGTCGAGCATGACCCAAGAATCACAAGAGTCTCCAGGTACTCAACTCCATGACGAGCTCGCTGAGCCCCCAGAAATCGATGGACCATTGGCTGGCACTCCCGAAATTAGCCCCGAAACACCAAAGCGTGGACCTGTTACAACCAACCCCTTTTATTTGGCAGACCGTTTGCCCAAAACACCTTTGTCGGCTCCGCAGATTGCGAAATCGAGCGCTCGTGCTGCTCGACGACCGAGGCGGCCCTCGGATTGTGTGCCGCGCCGGTTTAGAAACAGGTCTCCCAGTGGTTTCATCGAGGAAGTCAGCCCAAGACAGCGCGGTGTAGAAAATAACCATGGCCCCGATATTGAGGCACATAGTCTTTGTTGTTCCGCTCCTATAACAGCGACTGACATCCAGAAGGACCGACGAGGAGCTGACTTGAGTGTCAACCTCGAGAGCAAAGTCAGCGAGCTTTTTCGACATGTGGAAGACCTTCATAAGGCCCAATATCTCAGAAAGTATCTTGCCACTGCCATAGATGAACTGGATTGCGGCAGTGATGTCTCAATAAGTCCCAGGAGCAAATTTCCCGGAGACCAGCCCGGCATGGAAACCCCGACGAGTCAGTTGCGCAAATCACGTTTGCATAACTTGAGTGAAGACCCCAAACACTCTGTTGGTATCGTATGCGAAGCCCAAGCCCATCATATTGAGCAAGATGTCGTCGCAGGTAGTCTCGGACCAGAGGGAATACAAAACACGGGCTATATTGATCACCCAATATATACAATTCCGAGCTCTGGGAAGGCGGGCTCCAACACGTCGCTTTCGGGGACGGAAAAGACCAAATGCGGCGAAGCTCGCCCTCATCTAGAGCCATCATTCGACAAGCATCACTCCAGTGGCGAAGATAGCGATGGTAGCCCACAATCAACTAGACGATTCAGTGGCGGCAGGGAACCCGATGAAAACGTCGGCTCTGCTGGTGCCGATGTACTTCATCCTAATGAGACAGATCCTCGTGGCTCAGATACTTTGCCAGGTGATCAACCTGCCGCAAACCGTGTCATGCCAGACTTACCAAGCACGACCGGGTACAAGCGTCACAGGCAAAATACACAATTGTGTCCTAGACCACAAACTCCAAGCACAGGACCAGATCCTTGGCCCATTCTCAAGAGAGTTGGGCAACCGTCACGACAAAAGTTGTGCTTAACCCCGAATTCGGTCCCGTGGGCTCGACCAACACTTCGAAAAGTCCCTGCTACTCCTGGAGCTATCCGGTCGCGGAGTAATTGCTCTACACCATCCGAATGGAAAAGGAATCCAAGAAAGACCGATGAAGCAGCACATGCCTCTCCTTCCAAGACTATACCTGTTGGCACACCAGTATCGGAATGGCGAGGCAGTCTGACCAAAACTGAGAGGATCACACCAAGGACTTCCCACAGAAGTACGCTCTGTGAGTCTTGCAATCCTGCCGAATCCAAGCCATCTACAGTCAATAGTGGGACATCTGGAAGGTGTAGCCACAGGGACAGCCATTCAGGACACACGAACAAGAGCAATTCTAATGTTGAAGATCCATTTACAGAGCCGAGGCTGAGTGTTCGGGCCGTCGAGCATTCGCTCGCTTGGAAAAAGGTGCAAGAAGATATTGAGAGACGGGTCTACCAGGATGCGGATGAAGCACCTGTCTCATTTGAGGGAGCCTCAGTGTCGGTTGAAAGGGAGCAAGAGACTGAAAGCATACGTCGAGCACCTCCAGAGTCGACTCATATCTGCAATCCGCGGAGTAGGGACACGACTGAGCGAGATGAAATGGTGAGTAGCGAAACTATGCCCGGACAAGCTGGGCCAAGCAACGAGTCAGCTGAGGAAGCACCGACTGGTGTCGAGGCAAATACTGCAGACGAGTTGGGGATCGAAGGGTTGACAATAGTAGTTCACTTGAGACACAGGGATGATTTAGTAATCAGCACGGATCTCAATGGACGAGAATACAAGGGAAAGTGACGAAGAGCAGTACCCTACCCGAGAGGGACGGGAAACGGTGTGTAAGCAGATAGTCTGTTACTTGACAGGTTGCATTCATTCATTCATTCCTCGGGCTCAGGGCGCACACGTGTCAAATTCATGCCGTGATGGAGTGAATCACGATGAGGGCCACACGCGGCACTCTGCGAGCCACGGCTCTGGTGAATGACGGACTGCCAGTTGGATATCTAGGTCTCCGGCACGTAGACGGATACATACCCACCAGTTGATGCCAGTGGCTGGTTGAGCAGGAACGAGGGCGAGAGCGAGAGCGAGGACGAGGCGTACACGTCTGGTATGGACGGGGCGCGCCCCCAGCAACTCCGTCTCTGGAGTCTGTAGCACGTACACGTAACGTACGCGCAACCCACAGCCCTCCTCATCCTGTGCGCTTGCTGAGAAGAAGAAGAGGCACGCCCGCAGCAGTCTGGTCCGACGACCTGGGCGAGGGGACACGCCGTCCAGCCGACGAAGGACAGGCGGGCCGACGCACCGAACCGAACAGCGACGCCTCCCGTTTTCAACCCCGCAGCCTCAGCCGGGCCGCATACTCTGCCAGCCTGTCCACCTCCATGTCGGGGGTGAAGACGACGTGGTCCTCCAGAATCTCCAGGGGCCCGTCGAGGGCGCCGCGCCACTCGGGCGGCAGCTGCTTCGCGATGGCGCGGACCTCGCGCGGCCCGGCGTCGCCCACCCACCAGAGGCCCCGGAGCATGGCTAGCAGGGCAAAGTAGTGGGCGACGATGACGAGGGCGCGCGGCCGCTCCTCGTCGACCATGTCGACGAAGCGGGCGTGGACGAAGAGCGGGAAGACGATGAGGCGCCGGGCCACGCTGCCGGGGGGGCGGCGGTCCCGCATGGCCCTCCAGACGGCGCCGATGTAGTTGAGCGCGGAGAGGTAGGCGGCCTGGACGTCGGCGTCCCAGGGGGCCTCGGCCAGCTCGTGGGGGTGCTGGCGGCGCATGAGGTGGGCGAGGCCGCTGGCGTGCGACTCGTCGCCGTCGAGCAGGTCCGCCACCAGGTCGGCCATGCGCATGCCGAGCGAGCCGGGGTCCATGGAGGTGATGGCGGCCGACTGGCGGAAGACGGCGCCGCTGGTGCCCGTCATGCGCAGCCACGACGTGGGCGGCGTGTAGGGCTCCAGCTCGCGGTCCTGGAAGCGGACAAAGGCGTAGACGCGGAGCATGCTGGCCGCGAGGCACACGCCGTCGACGTTGGAGGCCGACAGGTGCGCGATCTCGCGGCCCAGCTCGCGCAGCGTCATGCCGAGGTAGGTGCTGCTCTGGTGGAGGGACTGCCTCTCGTCCGGGCAGCCTGGCTTCCTGGCGCGGTGGAGGGCCGCCAGGAGCAGCAGCGCGTACAGCAGCGCGTCGCACTTGAAGGCCAGCTCCGAGGCCATGTCTACCCAGAACGGGCGCGAGGCCGCGTCGACGGCGATGGACGGGCCCGTCTCCGAGAAGTACTGGTGGAGGAGGGAGAGTTCGAGCTTGCGCCGGGCCTCGGACTCGGGAGGGTCCACGACGCCCTCGGCGTCAGGGGTCTCCTTGGTGGCGGCCGAGGAGGAGGAGCCCGACGGCGGAGAAGGAGGAGGAGGGCCCGCCGGCCCGACGCGGTCGTAGAGACAGGCGAGTTGGAGGCGGGTGCAGTTTGAGCATATCGGCTTTGCTTCGTCGCACTAAAGGGGCCGCCGGTCAGTGGTGAATTCTTCTCCGCTCATGCCGGCCGGGCCGGACAGGGACTCGCCTTGACTCGGCGCGCTCTACATCGTTGGCAGCCCGTCCTTGACTTCTTGTGGAATAGCTTGGCTGGCCGCTTCTGCCCCGGCTGCACGAACCCGGGTCCATTCGCCGCAGACTCGGATCGACCACCCATCTCGGGGTGCATGCGGTGGATGATTGCGGCGAGTTGGGAGCCTGGTTGTTCTTGCTCCGTCGTTTTCTTCCCACGCGAGTGGCCAGTGACGAGCACGCAGACGTATGTGAGAATCAGGTCGGTCAATGCCGTGCCGAGTGTAGTGTTTTCCAACGAGAGCGAACGGTTCGCCGGTAAACCCGGAGTGACGGGGGGGGGACGAGCTCGTCGAAGACGTTGGCAATCTCGGAGACATGGCGAAAGTCACAATGAGTCAGCGGTATATACGGTGGTCTTCGGGATTAAAACGGGAAGGTGCGGAGTGGGAACGCCCCGCTCGGCC